TCTTTCTTTCTTTCTTTCTTTCTTTCTTTCTTTCTTTCTTTCTTTCTTTCTTTCTTTCTTTCTTTCTTTCTTTCTTTCTTTCTTTTTTTTTAAATTCCAATTGGCAGCATTTCGGGATGGTCTAGGGTACTCCCTTGGGGGAACTCCCCTGTCCCCATTTTGGGGGCCACTTCCAGCCTTGGGTTCAGCCAGGAATAAAAGTGTGTCCTAGACACAAGTTGCATTCCCTCCTTTGCATTCTCTCTTCATCCACCTTATAAAACATAAATCAGATCATGCGCTCCCTGTTCCAAACCCTGTTACCTCCTTTTACCTCCAGTTAGCCCCCCACCCCATCCCCGGGGTCACTGAGGATGAGACTCACTGTCTGAAATGCAAGAGCTCCTCAGAGTGGCCCCACTCGCTTTCCTTCTCTCATCCTGGCTGTTTCCCTTCCTGCCACACCAGCCTCCTCCTCGCTGTTTCTCAGGCTCATGGGGCTTTTTCCCAGCCCAGAGTCTGAGTGTTTCCTTCAGTCTGGAGCTCTTCCCTCAGACACCTACAAACTCACTCCTCACTCCACAGAGGTCTCTACCCAGAAGCCATCTCCTCTGGCCACCCAGGAAGATGGCACCTCACACCACTCATCCTCCCTGTCTCAAGCAGCCTTCCCCCAAGCACCATCCCTATCCGCGTTATACATTGACATGCTTGGTCTCTTATTTCCGTCAAGACAGGGAACCAGCAGTTAGCGTCATGGCTATGTCACTGGACCCCCACGTAGTCGACCGCGGTTCGCGTCCCGGACCCGGTGGCTTAAACTCACGCCAGGCGCGTGTGTGTGCGTGCCCAGGATCCCGAGAGGAGAATGGAGGAGAAGGGATTGTGGCGTGGTCATCCCCCCTGGGGGGTGATTTCTTGCTTTCTGTCTCTCCGTCTCTCTCTGTCTTTCTGGTGAGCGCACGCGCCCTATATCCAAAGGAAAAAAAAATGGCAGGGCTTTGCTCTTCCCCACTCTGTCCACCAGACTCCGAAGGAATGGGCTATTGAATTCTCTTCCCTCCAGCCTTTCAGCCCACAAGGCCCCATACACACGCCGAGACTGTCACCTTCTTTTCTGGCCTCCAGCCTCTACTCTTTCAGTCTATCCTGCAGATGCTGCCCTGAAGACTCCTTGACTCCTGGCCCTCTCTCCCTCACAGGCCTCCCCACTGCCACCAGCACCAAACACCACCTTCCAGTTTTTATTATGAAAATGGTATTGGTGTGTTTCTTTCCTTTCACTTCCCAAAATACGAAATTATATTAGAATATTGCATGCCTTTTTTTTTTTTTTTTGGAGAGAATTTCGCTATAGGGCGCGTACGCTCACCAGACAGACAGAGAGAGACAGAGAGACCGAAAGCAAGAAATCACCCCCAGAGGGGATGGCCATGCCGCAATCCCTTCTCCTCCATTCTCCTCTCGGGATCTTGGGCACGCACGCACACGTGCCCGGCGTGAGTTTTAAGCTACTGAGTCTGGGACGCGAACCGTGGTCGACTACATGGGAGTCCAGCGACATAGCCATTACGCTAACTGCTGGTTCCCCATGCCTTTTTTTAAGCTCTGTTCTCTTCCTTCCCGGAAAGTTCAACATCCCTTCTTTAGCAGGGATCTCAGTGAGTTCTGACCAAAACCCATTAACACCTATGCAAAAGACCACTGAGCCACCGACCCTGCCTCATATCAATTTCCAGCAAAAAAAAAAAAAAAAAAAAACAAAGAATGTGCCGGTAACAACGACAGGCCAAGGAATCACGTGAGCAGACTTAGTTGCAGGAGGGACCTCCCGTGTGCATGCCTAAGGCTGTTATTGAGCTTTTGGGAAAGTCATGAAACAATTTCGCATAGAAAAATACGCACGACTTCTCCGACGACCCAAGATCCAAACAATAGGCCCCAATTCTGTTAGCGCACACATGCGTCGTGCCTGCTGTAGGGTTAACCAGCTGACACAGGGCAAGTAAATGAACAATGACAAGCCTGAACCAAGATTCTTCTTTTTTTTTTTTTTTTCAAAACCCTTTTTTTTTTTTTTTTTTTTTTTTTTTCAAACCCCTTCCACTCAAGACAACACCCCTGGTAGTCTGGTGAGAGTGTCCACTCTACATGCTGAGAGGAGGCTTTCTTTTTAAATTTATTGCCAGAGGGCTTGTGGGCTGCCCGAGAAAGACAAAGAGGGAGGGAGGATGTCACAATCCCTTCATTTCTCCACTCCCTTGGGACTTGGGGTATACACACACGCATGCATGTGTGCTTGCATTTCAAGTCTCCAGGGCTGGGACTCAAACGACACGGTCAATCATATGGGACCCAGCTTGCCACAGGGCCGGCCAGCCTGTGATCAGGTCTCTGCAGCTTCACAGGCAACCTGGGAGACCTATAAAACCTAGTATGTCACTAGATAAACTCCAAGTGGCACAAAAAAATGGGGAGTCTGGGTGGGGCAGCTTTGACTTGAACCCTGCTCTGCCACCTTCTGGTGGGGTGAAGCCGCTCAGCTTCCCTCAGCCTCCAAGATGGAGTTCTCATTCGTATAAACAGGGATTGTGGTCCTTAACTCACAAGGGCCTACAGGACTCCAGCCAGGCGCACGAGTGTGTTGTAAAGGTGTGATATCCCCAGCACTTCGGGCTCTCAGAACCATTCCAGCAGAGGGAGCAGGTGAGTGAAGCTTTGGCAGCAGAAGCAGGTAGCAAACCTACCCAAACAGTCCAAAGGACCCAAATGGTCTTTACCAGTGGAAAAACTGAGGATATCTTTTTTAGGTTTGCTATAGGACATATGCACTCACCGAAGACAGAGAGGCGAGAGACAGAGAGAAAGCGAGAAATCATCTTCCATTGAGGATGGCCACACCACAGTCAGCCATGTGGGATCCAGCTGCCTTACCCATCACGCTGCCCAGCTGGCCCAAGAGACCTAATACTGATAGAGTACCTAGGATGTGCTGGGAGCCACGAGTGCTCAGAATCATCCCCTTAATCCTCACAGCCATCTTGCTGGTGAGAGGCAGTTCTCATGCCCCTTTTCAGAGGGAATTGAGGCTCTGCAGAGGCCAAGGCCATGTGCCTAAGATCATGTGCCAAGGTGCAGACAGAGCTGGGATTCGGATCCAGGTCCGTTCAGCTCTGTACGTCAGTTTTCTCTGTTCAACTGAGGAATCATCCCCTCCCGTTATGTGGTGGTGAGAACAAAATAATACGCTCAACGTGCTCAGACCAGGCCCCTGCATGTAACAGTCACTGAGCGAGGGTGAGTGCCTCCTGCGTGTCCATGCCGGGCTGGGCCCTGGGGTCTGCAGATGGGACAGCGTGCCCTGCTCGAGGATCACCTGCTGTGGTCAATGCCCATTAAAGCCCAGGTGTTGGGAACCAGCAGTTAGCGTAATGGCTATGTCGCTGGACTCCCACGTAGTCGACCGTGGTTCGTGTCCCGGACCTGGTGGCTTAAAACTCACGCCGGGCGCATGTGTGTGCATGCCCAAGATCCCGAGAGGAGAGTGGAGGAGAAGGGATTGCGGCGTGACCATCCCCCCTGGGGGGTGATTTCTCGCTTTCTGTCTCTCCGATTGCATGGACAGAGGGGGCGGGGGGTGCTGTACTCTCAGAAGGCAAACACAGGCCCTGGTAAAGGGAGAGGGGCTCAGTCGAAAGACAGGGGACAGGGTCACTGCTGTCCCTTCACCCCAGTGGACGGAAGGCTTCATACTCCGAATCTGTTCATTTCTTTCTTTCTTTTTATTTTATTTTATTTTATTTTTGCTATAGGGTGCGTATGCTCGCCAGAGAGACAGAACGCCATCCCTTCTCCTCCATTCTCCTCTCGGGATCTTGGGCACGCACACACACGCGCCCGGCGTGAGTTTTAAGCCACCGGGTCCGGGATGCGAACCGCAGTCGACTATGTGGGAGTCCAGCGAAATAGCCATTACGCTAACTGCTGGTCCTGTGAGTCTGTTCATTTCTAAGAGAAGGAGAATTAAACGAGTCCTTGGGAGTCAGGGCTGAGAGAGACGAAGCTGCAGCTAATTAAGGGCCGGGGCAGGCTGGTGTGCAGAGGAACCTTGGAAGAACTGACCAGCCTCCCTAGCTGTACGGCCTCAGGGAATTCTGACCTTTAGTTCCCTCCTCAGCTAAGGAAGATAATGATGACACATTATTCACAAGGGAGCCCCAAGGACTCAGCAAGATAATACCTAGGGAGGACTCAAGGCCAGCCCTCCAGGAGCCCATAATAAACAGTTACTGCCGCTAGCTTACTGCACAGGAGGGGCCGTGAGTCACCAGAAACCCGAGCAGGTGGTGTCCTGTGTGCTCAGTTGCTTCTATCAGGTTCCCAGGGGGCTCTCAGACTCTTAGGAACCACTAGCTTGGGCTGTGACGGCATGCAAGCAGACGCCGGGAGAGAACGTGCCCAGCGGTTAGAGGTCAGCAGAGGAGGGGCTGGCCATTGCTCTGCCATGGAGGCTGGCACTCCAGGAAGAATCTGCATCTCCCAGGTCCTGACTGTCGTGTGTGCAGTGTTGATCACGGGCCGCGTTGCAGGCACCGTCTCAAATGCTTTCCGTGTTGCATCTCCTTGAACTGCCTGGCCAACGTGTGTGTGGGGTCATTGCAGGTGGAGGAATTGAGGCCCCAGAGGCCAAGTGTGGAGATGAAACTGGAGCTGAGGAGGAAGCTGGGGAAATGGAAACACGAGGTGACATTGCAGAGGAAGTTGCTTGAGGAAGGGGAGTCGAGGGTGCCATGTGGTGCGGGTGACGTTGGGATGTGGGGTGGGTGTTGGTAGCACCCTCCAAACACGAAGGGCAAGGGAGGCGCTGGTTTGCCGTGGAGTGATGAAGTTCATTTCCAAGACAGCAGCTCTTTATGTGCTTGCAGCTCCGCCACTAGTTATACTGTGTCTGTTAATTCGCTCACTGTCCTCTGGGTCCAGCCCCCACTGGCCAACAGAGCCCTTTGCACATCCCAGTTGCCCAGTCGACGTATTCTACGGCGGTAACATCGGATGAGGTCACCTCTGGGCAACTCGAAGGGTGGAACCAGACTATCTCCTAGCTGTGTGACCTCAGGCAAGTGGTATACACTCGCTGGTCCTCAGTTTTGTTCCTTGTGAATGGGGGGCCTGCAACAGAACCTCCTCATACAGATGTCATGAGGAGGAAATGAGCGAGCACTTCCAACAGTGCCTGGTACATGGTGACACTCCACAAGGGTGACACCTCATGGTTATTGTTCTAGTTAATGCAGAGAGAGAGGCAGAGACCACAGGACACAGAGGTCGCCACAGGAAAAGCCCACCCCAGGATGTGGGAACGCAGTATCCTCAGATGGGGCTTCTACTGCCTTGCTATAGATTCAGCTTCCCTGCCGTCCTGTCCTCATCTGCCGGTGAACGCGGGCAAAGCCAACACACACCAGGGTGCGCGGGCACCTCTGAATAACCCAGGTGTCTCCCATGAAAACATCTGGCACCAGGACAGGGAGCAGAGGTACTCACACTCCACAGACAGGTTGAAGGCGGTGGCCCTCTGGCCGTACTGGTTCTCAGCCACACACCAGTACTCCCCGTCATCCTCAGGTGTGACAGCTGGCAGCTCCAGCTGCAGCTCGCTCTCATAGATGACCGTGGCCAGGATCTGCTTCTCCTTGAAGATGGTGAGAATAGGGTCTGGGTTGCTCTCTGTGGAGCACAAGATGGAGACTGTCTCTCCCTCCACGGCCACCATTGTCCCGTTCACCGTCGGCTTCCAGGGTGCATCTGGGAGACAGGGTGGGAGATGGTCAGAAACTAGAAGGTACTTGGGGCTGGCAGGTGACATGGGGGTTAAGGACACTGGACTCCCACATGGCCGACCATGGTTCGAGTCCCAGACCTGTGTGGCTTCCTTTCTCACTTTCTCTCACTCTCTCATGCGCTCTTTCTCTGGTCAAATTAAAAAATAAATAAATAAAGTTAAATTGAAAAAAAGAAAAAGAAAGAAACTAGAAGGTACTTCTGCCAACCAATTCTCACTCCCAGATGTGACCCCAGATAGCCCCAGACTAGCACACGAGTTCAGGAGGGTTCAAGTAACCCCAGCCCTGAGTGTCTTGTTTACAAGAACAGGGCTCTGCTGCTAGAATGCTTGTCTTGGGATTCTGGCTCTACTTCTTCTCAGCAGCGTGAACCTGTTTTAACCTCTCTGGATCTTACTTTTCTCATCTGGAAAATGGGCTTAATAATAGTTCCAACCTCGCAGGGCAGATCATCCAGCATGCACTGAGAACTTGAGGAGCGACAGACAGGCACTGGGGTAGCTTGATAGTCTTTGTGGGAAGATGCTATATACATAAATATATTTAGGGCCAGCCGGTGGCACGGTGGTTAAGGTGGCTGGATCCCACATGGCTAACAGCGTGATTTGATCACAGACCAGGTGCATGTGTGTGTATGCCTAAAGTCCCAAGAGGAGAACGGAGCAGGGATTGCTACATGGCCATTCCCCTGCGGGGAAGTGCTTTTGCACTTTGTCTCCCTTTCTCTCTCTCTCTCTGTCTCTCTTTCTGACGAGTACAAGTGTCTCATAGAAAAAAATTTTAATTGTATATATACTTTGCAAGATGGAGAGAAATGCTATGAAAGAAAGTAATGAGGAAGGGGTTGGGAAATTGAAGTCATGACAATGTTAAGTGGGATGGTGAAGGCCCAGCCATAGTGGCACAGGCAGTAGGGAGCTGCTGCACGAGCCCCGGTCAGTGGTGTCTGTTTCTTTCTCTCTTGAAATAAACTTTGTAAAAGAATTAAATGGTGAGGCGAGGCTTCAGTGAGGCTAGGCGGTGGGCAGTCCCAGCCCTGGGACTCTGGAGGGGAGAGCATGTGTGTCGAGTGCTCAGGAACTGCTGAGTAAACGTTGGCTGTGGCTGTCATCGTTATTATCCCCTGTCCTGGGCACTTTGCCTCAACAAATATTTGTGAGTAAATGAATAAATGGCCCCTCCTTGGTTCCTAGCTAAGAATCCTGTTCTGACCGGCCCCTTTGCAGGACCCATAAAGTACATGTGCACACAAGGTTCTGAGTGAGGACTGGGGTCTCCTCCAGCCTCCCATTAGAACTACAATGGGGCACGGGACCAGCAGTTGGCATAATGGCTACATTGCTGGACTCCCATGTGGTTGACCGCGGTTCGAGTCCCGGACCTGGTGGCTTAAACTCACGCCGGGCACATGTGCGTGCATGCCCAAGATCCCGAGAGGAGAATGGAGAAGGGATTGCAGCATGGCCAGTCCCCCTGGGGGAGGGGATGATTTCTCACTTTTTATCTCTCTGTCTTTCTGGCGAGCACATACACCCTATAACAAAAACCTCTATAAAAAAAAAAAAAAAAACTACAATAGGGCTCTTTTCAAAACGCAGATTCCTAGAGCCAGACTGGGATGTACTCTCAGACCTGGTAGGGCTGCCCAGGGGATGGTGTAACAGGCTTTTCTATTCTAGGTGGCGAGGACAGAATCCGCATCTTGCCATGTGTCTTCGGATGGACAGTGGTGCAGAGCAAGTGACCTCCAACACTCATGGCAAGAATGGGGGAACACCTCCACCTGGTTCTTTCCTCTCCGACCCTGCCTCGGCCATGCAGGACCTGGGTGTGAGGAGCTCCTGTCTCTCCGCCGGGTCTGGCGGGTGCACGCGGCAGGCGACTCACACATGACGCTGAGCTCCACTGTGCGGTTGTCCTGGCCGTATGCGTTCTCTGCAAGGCAGGCATAGACGCCATCCTCCGCGGGGGTCACCTCGTCTAGCTCCAGCAGCAGGCTCTCAGTCACCGCCTCCCGGAGCACGGTCCCGTCGCGCATCCAGGTCAGCAGCGGCAGCGGGTTGCTGTCAGCCCCACAGACCAGGCTGATATGGGAGCCCTCGATGGCCTCCACCGAGGAGTTCATCTCCACGATCACAGGAGGGTCTGAGGCCCGCGACACGCTGGATCAGCCAACAGGGGCCGCAGACGCAGCCTGGCCCTGACGCCGTTGGCCTCCCTAGTGGGCATGAAGTGTAGCAGCGACACCTGCACCCAGGTGCCCTCGTCCTCGCGCAGACGGCCCAGCACCGCCGGCTCCCCCAGCCCCTCGTGGCCCAGCCAGCTGAGCTCCGGGCGCAGCTCGGGACAGTTGTCCGGCACCATGCAGCTGACCTCCACTTCTGTGCCCGCCACCACCTCCGGGGGGACCACGATGTTGGGGGTGTCTACAATGAGGTGGGAATAGGAGAGCTGGGGAAGTGGCACTGGGCTACGACGTGTCACCCCCACCTTGTCCAACTCCGTTTCTGGTGCCTTGTCCCTCCCCTGTGCCTGGATACAGAAGAATAAGAGGGACGTGGTCTGCGTCCTGCGGGGTTAACCTGGCCAGTCCTTCCAGCGATGGGGGCGTGGGGGCAGTGCTTCGCTCATTTACTGAGGCCACAGCCACTATGGGGTAAAAGAAGCCTCCAGACTGTCACTTTGTCCCTGAGGCCACAGCCACTGTGGGGTAAAAGATGCCTCCAGACTCTGTCACTTTGTCCCTGAGGCCACAGCTCTTCAAACCCCATCACTCTGGCTCTCGGGTCAGTGCTCTGAATGCTCTAGTGTCACCCTTCGGAAACCGTCTCCTGCCCCGTGTTTCCTTTGGTTACCCCTCCACCTGCGCATGTGAGTGTGTGTGGTCTGTGTGTGTCTGTGAGCATGTATATGGTGTGTCCTGGGTGTGTGCATGGTCTGTGTGTGTGTGTACAGTCTGTGCATGTGTGGCGTGTGAGCATGTGTGTGGTGTGTATGTATGGTATGTGTATGTGGTCTGTGTCTATCTGTGAGCACGTGCGTGGTGTATGAGGTATATATTGTGTGTGTGGTGTGTGAATGGTCTGTGCATATGTGTGTGTATGTGGTCTGTGCATGTGGGGTGTGTGTGTAATCTGCATGTGTGTATATGTGTGTGGTCTGTGCATGTGTGTGTGTATATGGTTTGGGCATGTGTGGTATGTGATCTGCTTGTGTGTGTATGTGTGTGGTCTGTGCATGTGTGTGTGTGTATGGTCTGGGCATGTGTGGTGTGTGATCTGCATGTGTGTGTGTGATCTGCATGTGTGTGTGGTCTGTGCATGTGGGGGGGGTCTGGGCATGTGTGGTATGTGATCTGCATGTGTGTGTATGTGTGTGTGGTCTGTGCATGTGTGTGTGTATGGTCTGGGCATGTGTGGTGTGTGATCTGCATGTGTGCATGGTCTGTGCATGTGTGTGTGGTCTGTGCATGTGTGTCTGGGCATGTGTGGTGTATATGATCTGCATGTGTGTGCGGTCTGTGCATGTGTGTGTGTATGGTCTGGGCATGTGTGGTGTATATGATCTGCATGTGTGTGCGGTCTGTGCATGTGTGTGTGTATGGTCTGGGCATGTGTGGTGTATATGATCTGCATGTGTGTGCGGTCTGTGCATGTGTGTGTGTATGGTCTGGGCATGTGTGGTGTATATGACCTGCATGTGTGTGTGGTCTGTGCATGTGGGGGGGGTCTGGGCATGTGTGGTATGTGTGATCTGTGTGTGTGTGTGTGTGCGGTCTGTGCATGTGATATGTGTGTATGTGGACATGTGTGCAGTGTGTAGTGTACCTGTGTGTTCTCTTTCCACACCAGGGTTGTAATCTGGCTCCTCACACAGACTCAGTCCTGCTGGGGAACCTGATTCCGAGGGCTCCAAGCGATGGGGCCTCATAGCAATTCGGCAGTAGGAAGGCCTGAAATCGGCAATAGACTTTATTCCTATCACCAGATTGGGCCGAACTACATTTTTGTTTGGCCTACAGGATTTTTTTAAAAATCTGAATTAGCAGCCAATACTTAAAAATTAGATTACACTGAGAAATCAACAAGTCTGGTTTCTCTTGACAGTTTGGAAAGCCGGGCAGCAACGGCCCTGCGTTCTGCTGGCCAGAGCTGGGTGCCGTGTGCCAGGCACTGCTCTGGGCACCCGGCAGCTGTTCACCACTGGCGTTAAGTGCTGTTCTTATCTCCAGTTCACGGAAGAGGGAACCAAATCCCAGGGAAGTTAAGTAACCAGTCCAAGGTCACCCAGCTAGGGCCGGGACCCAGAGACCTTGCCCCTAGCCCCTAGGTCCTACTGCTTTTCTCCAGGTGTTTCTAGAAGAGTAACAGCAACAGCCACAGTTCTGTTCTGAGGGCAGCAAGACTATTCTGGGCCCCGGGTTGTTATTTCTGTCATCTATGTGCCTTGTGGTCACTGAGGTTTGCACCCGAATCAACACCTCTGGGACCAGCCATCCGATCCCTGCGGGGAAGGTGCTGGGGCGGGCTTCCTGCTGCACCCTGCCTGCGCCAGCACGGCCCCAGCCCTCGGTGCCCACGCGGCCTCTGGGGGACTCACTGATGATGTCCAGGACGCTGTGCTCTGAGAAGGTGTACTGGTTGTAGCCCCCCAGGTCCCCGCGGAAGTAGTACTTGCCGCCCAGCTCTGGGCTGAGGTTGTTGAGCAGGAGGGTGCAGTTGCGCAGGCCCAGGTCCCCCAGGAGGCGGCTGCGGCCCTGGAAGCTCTCGTGGACGATTTGGGTGCGGGACTTGAAGACCACCGGGGGGTAGTTCTTCGGGTAGGGGCTGTTGAAGTACCAGACGCCATGTACCACCGCAGGCCGCAGCTCATCGGGGAAATCGAAGCGGCAGGGGATGGAGACGCACGTGCCCTCGAAGGCCGAGATAGACGAAGGCATCCAGGCACCCCAGTGACCCCCTCGAGAGGCTGTGGGCGAGCAGGACCACTGAGGCTGGGGGACATGTCTTACCCAGATCATCCCTCCTGCTCCCATCACCTTCCACCATCCTGGGGGAGAAGGCCAGCGACCCACAGAAACACACCCAGCTTGCTCAGGGCCAAGGGCCCTGGATCCCCTGCACCCTCCAGCCATTACCTGAAATCATAATCCAAAACAGGGGCAGCGCCGTGAGGAATATCATTTTGTACAGCAAGCGAGTGAGAGCTGCAGAGAGAGAGGGCAAGACTGAAGGCCAGGGCGTGTGAGAAGGGGTGGCTTGTCAAGGCCTCAGGAAGGAGCCTGTTCAGACGTGAGTCGCTGCTGCTATTTATTTAGAATTACAAACATTTCCATGGCATCGGCCCCATGCCAGGCCTCAGTTCCTTACTCTGCAATATTAACCCACTGGGTCCCTTTGAGATAGGCGCAATGATTATCCTCATTTTCTAGCTGAGGTCCAGAGAGGTTAAGTAACTTGCCCCAGGCCACACAGCTGGTCTGTGGTCTTAACCACCAAGCCAAACTCTCTCCATAGGATAGTGATATGGCTGATAATTAGCCTCAGCAGCATCCTGCCTCTGGGGATCTCGAGAAAGGAAGGATAGAACCCAGGCTGAACCAGTTGCAGAAAGTGGGAGGTGGGAAGCCAGGAGGAAGAAGTTGGTGCCCTGCCACGCACCTCAGTCTCCCTGAGCTGGGGATATCTCTGGTCCCACCTGAAGCCGCCAGCCAGGTAACCTGGAACAAGAGTCAGACAAGTGTAAGGGTTGGGGATCTGGGTTGGGGAGCTGAGCACCCCATTTCCCCCTCTTTAGGTGTCTGCTATGGGTTAGGGCCTGTCGTAAATGCCCCGTGTGGGCTCTGTTCCCGGATGCTTGGGACCCTCCCACACAGCCCTGAGGCTACTCTACGGCCTCACCTCCCCTCCCTGCCGTCCCCCCTCCCAGACTGGGATGTGGAGAAGTGCGAGGAGTGGAGAGGGAGCAGCAGCATCCGGGGGGCCATAGTGAGTGGGGTGAGGGAGCAGATGCCCCACGGCCGAGGCCTGGGGGTGGCAGCAGGGACCTGGCCCCATCAATGACCGGGTTTCACAGCATCAGCATTCTCGACATGCCGTGTGAATTCCTGCCGCCCTCTCCCACCCCACAGATGGCCCTGGTGTCCCCACCCTCACCAGAGGCCAGCGCCCATACAAAAGAGCCCTGTTCCCTCAGGAGGAGGGTGTCTCATCCTGGGGGGCTTCTGGAGTAGGTGGGGAGTGAGAGGGAAGTTGGGCACCCCTGGGGCAGGAAGCACTCAGGGTCGGGGCTAGTGAGCCCCGGGCACCCAGCTGCCCTGTGGGTCGCCTCAGGGTTGGAGCCAGGATTCCCAAGTGGCGGCTTCCCCAGCCCTCGCTGCCCTTTTCCAACAGACACGAACGTGTGCAGTCAGACACAGGCCGACGCTGCCATGAACTGTGACAGATCTCGGCTTGGGCAGAGAAACAGGCTCGCCGGGCAGTCCGCTGCACGCGTGTCACATGTGTGCAGGCACAGAGCCCCTGCTCCCTGGAGACGTGGCAGCATGCACACAGTCACACAGGTGTGCCTGGACCGCCCTCCCTCTTGCCCACCCTCCCTGGACAGACATGGCCTGGCATCCGGGCACACACGCGTAGCCCTGACAAGGACCTGCGCACACACTGCGAGGCGGAACGAGAGATGGGCCCACCCACCAGTGATGGACACCTCCTGGCCCCTGGCAAGAGACAGACACAGGAGAGCGTCCCACACCGTTTGGGCAGTCATGAGGAGCAACATGGAGACCGAGCATTCGGAACGGGGCACAGACGGCTCTTAGGGGGGGGTGAGAAGGTCTCGGCTGTCATAGTACAAGGGCCGCGGTGCACCAGAGTGTGTCTGTGCGGGCGGCCTCTCAAGGGAGGCGCGGCACCCGCAAAAACACGTCTGAGAGTTTCTTCAGTGAGACAAGATGAAGAAAGCTGAGAAACACTGACGTAGGCTGAGACTCACACGAGGGAGGTGCGTGGGTGGGCGTGCACGAGCGTGTGCACACACAGACGCACACGCCTGATGTGTGCCCGGGTGCTAGAACTCGCTCTCACAGCCTAGTGCCCCCCACCACCTCCAGACGGCAGCAGGCAGGTGTCTGTGCACCTGTTCACCCCAGCCCCAGACCACTTCCACTCCACCTGCCCCAGATATGGGCCCCCCGGAGGCTGCTCCTGCAGGACCTCCTGCCAAGGGATGCCCAGGAGGGCCCCCCGCTCCTTATCTCTGTGTTTTTTTCCCACACCCCCACACTGTTTCCGCCATGGGCTCCGTCCACCCACAAAGCGGGCCCAATAATACTCTACCCTGTCCTAAATTAGTGGCCACGCACGGTCGCCCTCCATGGCCCAGAGCACCTGGCCTTGCTCACGCTTGGGCGTCTCTGGCCTATCGTCTCATCCTCCCATCCTCTCGTCCTCTCCCCCAGCCCGGCGCTCTGTCCCGGTCCCGTGCCCAGCCCTTGCCACTGTGGTACTCACTTGGAGGCTCTTGCTTCTGCACCCTCTGCTCGGCCGGCCCAGCTCATAGTCCCCTGGCCTCCCAGGGTCTAGGCCCCCACTTGCCGGCCCCTCCCCTCCCCCTGGGTGCCAGGGGCCGCCTGCCTCCAGGGCCCAGCTCCTCCCTGCCCCTGGGGGAGGGGGGCACAAAGAGGCCCTTGTCACCGCAGGGCTCCGACTGGACAGCCTGATGCCTGGGTTCTACTAGCTCCTTCCTGAAGGGGGGTGGGGGGCTACTCATTCCCCCTCCTCCATCTCTGTGCACCCTGGTTCTGCATCCCGTGGGGGACGGGCAGTCTAATCCTTCTGGAAGTCCCAGTAGAGCGATAGAAGGTGTTGTCCTCAGGGCTCTTGGTGGTAACGTTAGGTGTAACCCAGTCCCGAGAGGCCATCAGAGGCTAGCGTGGGCAGGAGGAGGAGACAGGTCCTCCCCACCCTCCACTTCAGTGTCACCTCCTCCCTCTCTGGAGTCACTTCCCCTCCGTCCTCCTGGCCTGTTTTCTTGTTGGCTCTTCTGGCCATCTGAGCCGACCTTACGTGCTGCCTCTGCTCTCAGGAGAACATGACCCCACGAGCCCGAGCGCTCCATTGCACTCCCTCGACTCCGCCGCAGAGCTCCCGGTGCCGAGCTGGGCCTCCGGCAGGGAGTACACAGCTGAGCACGCTCCTCACACGCTCTGTGGCACCTTTACAGACAGGGCCTTTGCCCCGGTGGTGCCACCTTCTTGGACTGCTCTCCCCATCTGTTCCCCACTGGCCCCTCCGCCCCTGAACACAGCCTGCTCATCCTCAGGAAGCTCCTCCGCTTAAATGCCATCCTTCCTTGCAACCCGGCAGCATTTTGCTAACCTGCACCCTTGGTGGGCTTCCCAGCCAGCCCACAGACCCTCAGAGGGCAAGGTTTTGGCAGAATTCTGTCTGTCTTGCACCCTCGTATCCCCTGGAGTAGTGTTTGGTGAGCAGGGGGCTGTGAGACTATCTGAGCTGGGTGAGGACCTCAGGGTTCATCACCGGCTGCCACCTTGGCCCTCCCTACTGGTCAGGACCTTTGCGAGGTGAGCAGGAGATGGTGTGATGAGCTATCCAGCCCGACAAGGGCCTCTCCTGTCCTCCTTCAGTTCAGCCTAGTGGGGCAGGAGGGTCCTTTCTCCCAGGGGAGAACCCCGGGGGTGAGGAGCAGGGAAATCCCTCAGTCGGGGAGGGCTGGAGGGGGAGGGAGAGTCCCACCCCCCATCTCAGGCTTCATGATGTCAGACTCTGCCCGTGCCTTTCCCAGTCCGGGACGATGAGCTATCCAGCCCGACAAGGGCCTCTCCTGTCCTCCTTCAGTTCAGCCTAGTGGGGCAGGAGGGTCCTTTCTCCCAGGGGAGAACCCCGGGGGTGAGGAGCAGGGAAATCCCTCAGTCGGGGAGGGCTGGAGGGGGAGGGAGAGTCCCACCCCCCCATCTCAGGCTTCATGATGTCAGACTCTGCCCGTGCCTTTCCCAGTCCGGGACAAAGGCCCTTTGAAAGTGGGGTGGGGCTTGAATGCCTGGGTCCTGGAGAAGACAGGGGCCTGGTGCCTGGGCTTGGGGGGAGGATGCTGGGACCCTGAGGTATTCATAGGCCACGGCCTTCCGTGTCAACACCAACTCCAGCAGAGTTGTGTGCAGTCTGAGACTCCCTTTCCTAGCTCTCCGGGTGGGAACCGAAGACTGCTTGGTGTGGCAGGGGGCACGGAGAACCTTGGTGGCCACTGCTGAGGTCTGTGGTGAGGCAGGTGGGGGGAGAGAGTGAGAGGCCAGGAGAGGGAGCCGGGGAACTGGACCCAGGTGCTCTAAAGGGGATGGAGCCATGCAGACCCAGGGCCAGTCCTGCCCTGATCTTCCTGCAGAAGCAGGTGTAGTTTGCAGGGCCGCCCTAGCGAGCTGCCACATACGGGGTGGCTTAAAAACCGGGTTTTTTGGAACCAGCAGTTGGCGTAATGGCGATGTCGCTGGACTCCCATGTAGTCAACCGCATGTCGAGTCCCGGACCCAGTGGCTTAAATTCACCCCGGGTGCGTGTGCGTGCGTGCCCAAGATCCCAAGAGGAGAATGAAGGAGAAGGGATTGCGGCGTGGCCATCCCCTCTGGGGGGTGATTTCTCGCTTTCTGTCTCTCTTTCTGGCTAGTGCTCGCTCCCTATAGCAAAAACCTATCCAAAAAAAGAAAAAGAAAGAAATGAAATAAATAACAGGTTTTATTGCCTGACACTTCTGAACACCCGAGTTCCACAATCAAGGTCTTAGCAGGGTTGGTTTCTCCAGAGGGCTCCGAGGGATGAATCTGTTCCAGGCCTCTTTCC